GCGGCAGGGCCGGGCCCGTGGGGCTGTGGGCCGGGCCCGTGTCCCCGCAGGGAGGGGATCCTGGGGCAGCAGGAGCCGAGACGCCCGCCGGTGACCGGCAGCGGCTCAGGGGCTGGCGGAGGGGAGGTCAGGGCCTGCGGCAGCTCCGCGGCTGGGAGGAAGCAACGCCTGTTTCCTGAGGAAATACGGTTTCAGAGGAGAGGGCATGTTTTGCTGTTGTAGTTGCAGTTCGGTCCTTTGCATGTGTCTGTAGTTTATCTTGAGTTTATAATTTCGATACGTACACAGTTGTCAGGAAAAAGCAGCCTAAAATGGTAGGCTGGCCATTACGCAGTACTTTTTTTTTTTTTTTTTTCCCTTTCTCTAAACTGCTCGTAGTATACTTTGCCTACGTACTTCGAATGTTTTTAAGACACTTAAGTGTCTTTAAGTGTCTTCAAGTCACTTAAGTTGTCTTAAAACCAAAACTCTTCAAAGTCCTGCGATGCTGTAGCTATATGTTGACAAAACACAACACAAACATCTCCATATTCAGAAATGCCCTGTTTCTGGGCAGTAAGGGAGTACTTCTATAGAATATATTTTTATTTTAAAATGTATTTATAGTAGTTCCTGGAAGCTTGTTCCTGTTAAGGAGGACGTGTGGAGAGATAATGTTCTGAAGGGAGTGGCAGAAGCATGGAAGGCTCCTCAGCCTGGAGCGGGGACAGATGGCACTGGGGCAGAAGGTGTGGAGCGAGAACAGACTGGCGAGAAAGGAAAAGTGCTGGTGCAGTGTGTCTTGAGGAAGGAACTCACGATAAGGGTTACGCACCTAAAAGCACAGCTGCTGTCAGAGGTGGGAGGTTCATTCCCTGATACCTCCCCCAGCATACAGTTATTTTCTGTGGAGTGAGTCAGTGCTTTATTGGAACGCCCATGGTAACGTCGGAAACAATACAAAACCAGTGCAAGTGTATGGTTGCTGTGAAGCCTGAGTGTATGAATGTTTTCCCCATAGCTTGGCTGTTTCTGTAATTTCCTGTATTTTGAGTTGTTCTAAGCGTCATGTGGATCACTCTCCTCCCACTGATGCAGCAGATTATTAGAACTGAGTATTGCTTACATGTTTGTCTGTAGCCCTGTCCCTTCTGCTGAGTGCCTAATAATTTTATGTCAACAATATTTATGATATTTATGTTCCTTTCTCTTGCCTGACCTATACTGCCTAGTATAAGGTCTGAGGCCAAAAAAAAAAAGATCCCTGGCTTGGCTAGAAAAGGACATCTGATTTTGAATTTTGGCTTAGTGAGTTACTCTGAATTAGGTGCTTAAGTTTCCTGAAGCAGACAGGGTGAATATCCCTTTTATTATTGCTAGGCATAACTTTAAGCTTGGGAATTTGAACTTCTTCGGTAAACAATGTACTTATCTATAGTCAAAATAACTGGTTGTTGGCTATGCTTGGCAGTATTTTAAAAATACTTGGTTTTCTATTAGCTAGGAGAATAAATGCATATTAACAAATGTTAGGATTTAGGGGGGAAAATACTTTTCAGTAGTAAGATTTAAGGCCTAAAGCTTGCTGATCTAAAGTGCAGACTAGATTTGAAGGCTATAGTCTTGCTTTCTTTTCACATTCCTTGTTTATGATTGCTTTGAAATACCTGCCTCTCTATTTTACTACTTGAAGCTGGTTCTTGAATAATTCTGTTCCTGGAAAGAATTAATCAGCTGAAAATGAATAATTCCTTATAGCCTTGAATGAATGAAGGTGTGTCCATTTGCTCACCGAGGGGTAATAACCATCCCAGTGTTGCTGGACAGCTGAATGTGTAAGCCTTCCCTGGCCAGAAAGTGTGAGAGTCATCACTGCTAAGAAGTTGATGTCTTTGTACCTCTTGTTCAGCTGGGGAGTCCCAAGTCTGTCAGCAGAGAGGTTTTGTCGCAGTGTTGGGTATGTCCATTAGGAGTTTAGCTAACCTCCCATGCAGCTCCTGCCAGTGTGCCTGACTTTGGGAGCTGTCACTTGAACAGCCTGGTGTCAGTCTGGCCTCCTGCAGCCCAAACAGCTGCAGACCTGATGGAAACCTTTTGTCATCTTTTTGTTCCTGTTGCCTCTGCCTTTGCAGTGGGGCCACTCCTTGGCTCTGTGCTTCAGGCTCAGGTGCAGCAACTAATTAAAAATTGCTGGTGTGAAATGAAAACTCAGACATTTTTTAAATAATTGTTTTAGAGTTCTGAATACTGCTCTATTGCTGTGGTTCCTGGAGTAATTGGTATTTACATATTCTGACTTGCACTAATGGTGTAAAAATTTATTCTTTTGTGGTGGAACTTAAAATAGAGGAGTGTAAATCCCTGAGGCATTAGTCAGTTGAGAACGTAGTTCAGACTATTTATACTATTATTTTTTTGCAACAAAAGAAAAAGTTAGGAGTTTGAAGTAGAACAACCTCATTCCATTACTTTTTCAAACATCTCATAACCTAATTTTTTCTTGCTTGTTTTGTTGTTTGGAAGGTGTCTGTCTGTATTGTCATAAATGTTCTGACTGTGTGTTTCATATATTTGAAAGAGAGTATTGAAAGAGTGCTACAAAAGGAAGCACTCACATCAGGGCAGAGTAGGGGTCCAGAATGAAACTGACCTCTTGGAGTTAACTCGGGTTTTTCCTTCACATAGATCTTGAAAGTCCATGCAGCTCAACTAAAATCTTTGGATTTTGAAGCCCTGAGTTTATATGTAGGGCTTCACTCACTGTAAAGGTTACAAGAATGTTCTTAGTAATGTTTTTACAGCTTGGTTGTGGCTTATGGGTATGTCTTCCCATTCAGCTTTTCTTTGTTGAGCATAATCAGCATTTCAGATCTATTTTATTTTGACTAAAGCTTACAAGTGCTACCTTTCTGATGCTCTTCCCTCCTTACCCTCCTTGCCCCAGTAGGTCAAAAAGTGTTAGATTGTTTTCTGTAATAAAAAAGATTATTATGTTGAATTAGAAGGATCATCAAAACTGACAGAGCTCCTGAGTCATAATACTAGCAAGCAATTCAAATGAATAGTTTTTTTAAAAAACACATATT